ATTTTATAGAGTGTATGGATGCACAGAAAGGCAGTGTAGGAAGATTAAAGAGTTCAAGTGCACCTGACAGCTAACATTTAATTAGCTCTTGTGGTGCCAACTGTCTGTTGGAAAGGGGAAAGACTGTTAGCTCTAACAGATTCATGGGAGACCAAAGCAAGCCTCCCCTGTCCCGGCCTAGATGGGCATTTCTAAGGTTCATACATTAATCTCCAAGAGTCTTGGAACACATAACCTCAAAGGAGGTCATCAAGCAGACTTGAACAAGAATGGAGAGCCAAAGATGGGGTCAGTATTGTCAACACTCCTGCACATATCAACTAATCCTAATTAAGGAAACATCTCCCTTTTTATAAGGAGAGGAAACAAGTCTTTTGAAAAATTCCAGGGATCCTCTGGAAATTAGTCTTTTTGACCTAAATGTAACTTTGATATTTAGAATTTGATTTTAGGGAGTTTGTAAAAAAAAACAAACAAAAAAAACAAAACAAAACAAAAAAACAACTCAGAAGGTTTTGGATCCCTGACCAAATAGGACCACAGATCATTATGAAACAGTAGTTAATTGTCTACTTGAGCAAAGTGTAAATAAAAAATGTCAAAGGCAAAACAAAGGGTCACATGGTTGTAAGCAAAACTTAGCTCTCTTAATAATCCAGAAGACTCTGTTTATGTGAGTAAGCAAAGACCTGTTGATAAAAATAACATGAAGTATAGGAAATTATTTTGATAAAGCACAGAACCTTTGCTTTCCATGTAGATTATTTTAAAAGGTAAAGAAAATCATTCACAATATCTTTTCAACAACAGACCAATAGTCCAAGAAAACTTTGTCCTTTTAACACATTAGAGGTAAGTGTTATTACATTTTTGGTCCTAAGGCTTAATTTTAAAACCCTTTTAAGAACAATTCAATATTTTGCCAACTTGGCCATATATAAAATTTCTTTCTCGAGATTCCTTTTCCATAAGCCTTCAACAATTTTCTGTATCTATTTAGGTTTCATCCTGTATTTTTCTTATTCTGGAATAATCATTTTACTTGAGGACAAAATCTGCCCCCCCAACACCCAATGTCTTTTATATCTTTTCTTATCAAAACAAAACAAACCCACACTCTATTTTCCTTACTTATTTTTCATATAGTCATTTTCTTTCATTCTTACAGAATTTTTGTGGGGAAAAAACCCTTTTGCTGACAATTTTATCTTTATTAGTTTAAATGTTATTTTCTCAATTTCAAAAACTTCTAAAGCTTTTCTAAAAAATGTAAGGCAGTTGTCACAAAATAATTTCAGATTCACTCTTAGAAGATAGTGCAATTGCTTAAGCAGTACATTTAATGAATATAAACTCCTCTACAATATCGCTAAACCAAACCAGACTTTTTTGGACGTGACAGTACAAGGTTTACTCAGGTCTATGGGCCCCTCCTGACCTATCTCTGCTACACTGGGGCAGACAGAATAGGCAGGGGCAACAGTATCCCCTCATTATTGAAGAAGAGGGTTACGCTAAGTAGGGAGAATAAAGATTTGAAAAACAACTTCTAAACTGAAGGCAGAATTATCAATACCTGGGAAGCCCCCACCAGAATTAACAGCTTTGTAAGTAGTTATAAGAAATGGAGGACGTTCTTTCAAATAGTTTGCTGCCTGGCAATGAAGCGTGAGCCTACCGAACAGTGATCACAGCTTGATCTTAAGGAGTTCTCACTGTGTGTGTACAAAACAGAAAAAGTGGTTGTTCTTCCACTGGCCTTTTCAGTTGGCTGCACAGACCTTTTTGGTGCACAATTTACTGTGATATAAGAGCAGTGGCTGTCAAACATGCTGGGTCATTCTACAGTAAGAAGGTATTTTATGGGCCAGAACATACCTCTCCATTTAACCATATAAGCAGTTGAAATAAAACTTTACTAGAAATGGGAAAGACATGTCAGTTTATTATATGCCATGCATTACTCTTATGCATTTTATGAAATTGTTTCATTTATATATAATCTGTAATAAATCCATTTATAAGTTATAGATGAAATTGAAGATCTGTATTATCCACTTATATAGATAAAGATAATACATATATTTTCTATTTAAATGTTAATCACAATTCATCTGTGGTCTGTGACCATAGTTTGGGGAAAAAAATAGTAAATCCTCCCATAGTAGGAGCTTCCATGGGAATTTCAGTATTTCTCATCTTCCAAAGAATGGCCTACGTAATTGCCTCCATCCTTTGAGCATTAATGCACACAGTTTGCGCAGAATTAATTTACACTTATCACTCGAAGTGTTCTGGAATTTTTGGGGGGTTTCATACCGTATTCTTAGCTCTTCTTCCATTAAAAAAAAAATTTGTAATCTTTGCAGTGAAAACTAGGATACAGGCAATTGTAAACTATCTATATTAACATCCTGTAGTAAATAGTTTAACAAACTTACAAATACATTTGAAATTATTTTTCAATGTGGCATAAAACATGTTTATTAGTAGAGCCAAATATTTTCTATTTCTCTGTAAAAACCTAAAAGTCAAAGTAGATAAACTTCTGTTTAGCATTTAATGTTTATCTTATTTGGAAATGATTTTGATATTTAACTAATACCCATTTTTCAATTTAATTTAATATAAATTTTGATCTTATTTATATTTGTAAATATAAATAAATAAATATTATTTGCTTTGAACACTTCTTTTTTTTTTTTTTTTTTAAAGACTTTATTTATTTGAGAGAGAGCAGAAGGTCAGAGGGAGAAGCAGGCTCCCCACAAAGCTGGGAGCTGGATGTGGGACTTGATCCGGGGACTCCGGGACCATGACTGGAGCCAAAAGCAGTGGCCTAAACAACTGAGCCATCCAGGTACCCATTAACACTTATTCTTGCATTAGACCTTAAACAGCTAACCATCATCGCTTCTCAGCCTTTTGGCTAAGATCAAATGTAAACAGCTAGCCATAATCATAGGTTATTTCTCTCGTTGATAAGATGAGATGAGCTATTTGATTGGTAAACCCACATAGAACATTGTATTTTATGCTATGACTCTGAAGATCTGCCTTATCATTAAACCAAAAAACTTAAACTAGCATTTAGTTCATCTCATATCGTATGAACTTGAAAAATATGTTTCCAAATTTCTGAGAGCTTATTTGACTTCTATAAATGCTTAATTTTCCATAAGCCAATTAAATAGAGCTCTTTTCAAATTCTTTTTAACAATACCTTCTGGAGGTAGAAAGATATCACATATCTATAACACATGTAACATAGACATACATTCCACTTAGATATACAGAGATTTTATAGCATTTGTTTAGAAATTTTAGCCACACTTCACGGAAAAAACTCACGAGAAAATATAGTTGCCCTTGAACAATGCAGGTTGGAACTACAAGTTCACATATATGCATTTTTTCTTTTTATTGATAAATACAGTACAGCACTGCAAATGTATTTTTTTTTTAAGGAATTGACATTTTTTAGTTTTTTTTTTTTGTAAGAATACAATATTTAGTACATATAACATACAAAATATGTGTCAACTACTTAGCGTTACCCTTAAGGTCAACAGTAGGTATTATGTTTTGGGGAAGTCAAAGTTTATATCTGGATTTTTGACTGCATGGCAGGGGGTGGCATCCCTAACCCCTGCCCTGTTCAAGGCTCAACTGTAATGGGATCCAAACTGCGTAGATGTTTACTAAAGACCATTTTTATTTGCCTGCTCTAAGGATCCTTTCAGAATTGTTTTTCAAGTCCTTTTGTCTTTAGAAGATTCTGCATATCAATCAACAAATGCATGCCTTCATCTCCCAGAGATTTGTAATCCTCTCTTTTAAGGGTGCCCCTTAAGGTGGACTTATCTAAAACAACATTTTGCCAGAATGGCCATTAGAATTCAAATTATACAAAAGCTCACCTATGTTTCTTTTCTTTTCTCTTTTTTTTTCTTAATATTTATTTATTTATTTGAGAGAGTGTGTACCCATGAGTGGGGGAGTGGCAGAGGGAGAGGGAGAAAAGCAGACTCTCCCTTGAGCTCTGAGCTTGGCGGGGCTGGATCTCAGGACTCAAGATCTGAGATTATGACCTGAGCCCAAATCAAGAGTCTGATGCTTAACCAACTGAGCTACCCAGGTACCCTTCGCCTGTTTTTCAAGAAACACACAAGGTGTTGGTTCAAAAGGACCAGGTAGAGCCTATCTTGCCTTTGGATTCCTTAAGATGTCCTTACGGGGCCCTGTTTTCCAACAGCTATTCTAAAATACCAGGAATCGTGTGTTTTCCAACCTTTTGAACAGGATGGGTGACTTACCAGGAAGCTTCAAAGACCAAAAACAAAAGGAGTACTCACTGGGAAGGGTGATGCCTTCATAAAAACAAAAAGAGATCCTAAATAAGCCCAGAGAGCTCACAATAAAAAGTGGATTTCATTTAAAAAAAAAAAAAAGTGGATTTCAATATCCAGGAAAGATACACCCTCAAACTCCAGGGTCAGCAAGAAAGCAATTAGCTCAATGGGTTTTGTGGATATTGGCACCTGTTTGTCACCAACCTCTGAGTTGTGGGGGGTCTTCTCGGAGACCTCTTCTTTGACACCATTTAATGTCAACCTTAAAATAGCCAGTTGTTTTACCAGCAAAATGAGTTTCTCCAAGAATAGCAGAGGAATTGCAGTTTGGGACAAACAAACCATGGCAAACCAATGGTGAGTACAAAGAGTCAGAAGGAAGGTCAGCTTTTATTAAGTTTTAGGAGAAATGTGGGGAGGGTTGTTGTGAACAAAAGTTCATTGAAGAAGAATAAGAACTTGAGGTGACAATTTCTCACTGGCTGTAAGCAATGGTTCTTGTTGCTGGGGCTGAATGGGATCTTCTTTTTCTTAAAAGCAGGTGATAAAATTCCTGTGAAGATGTCTTACATTGTTAAGGTAAGAATACTCTTCCTTCTGCTGGTTATGTGGGCTGCAAGGAGTGGTAAGAGCATGAGTGCTCCCCTTTCCAGGGCTTGCTGGCTTCCTTCCTTCCTTCCTTCCTTCCTTCAGAGAAAGGGAGAGAGAGTGAGTGCATAAGTGAGAGAACATATAGGAGGAGCAGGTAAGGACAGGGGGAGAATGAGAAACAGACTCTCTGCTGAGCAGGGAGCCTGATGTAGGACTCGATCCCAGGACTCTGGGATCACAACCTGGGCCAAAGACAGATGGTTAACAGCCTGATCCATCCAGGTACTCCCTGACTCCATTTTAAATGAAGTTTCCTTTATTCATTTTCACAGGGAAAAGGTATATGAGGACCCACAAGCCCTAGCCTACCCAATGGGCAATAACCCCTTTGAAGGCAGACATAGGTGACTGGACAGCCTTGGCAAGGCAGGGCTGGGAGGGCTGGCCAGGGTATCCTCTAATAAGAGACTCCTGGGAGACTGGTTTTCTGGGAAAGCTCTGGACCCCACAGGCAGCAAGTCCAAATGGCAAGGGACTGTCTCCGATTTGCAGTTACTGCCCCAGGGTGATGTTTGCGGGTGGTAACTTCCACACTGAACCTATGCAGGTATTTGGGGTCAAGATCCAGCTACCCTGGCCTGCTGGGCCCTGGCTTCTGGAGGCTGGCTGAAGGGCTTCCAACTCCAGGTGCCTTGACAGCACAGGTCAGGGGAGCTGGGAATCTGGAACTTGGCGAGAGTCCGGAGAGGCTGGGTTGTAGGAGTGGGCTACTGGAGGTTCAAGGCATCTGCCTAAATCCAGGTCCTAATGTCCACAAATGCACATGTGGGGTCAAGGCCAGGCTACCACAAACACGCCACCTCAGCATATTGATTATTTTGAGCTAAAGTTCCTTATAAAATACCCAGTGCAAGTATAATACCCAGACTTCACTTTGTCTCCACAAAGCAAAAAAAAGTTCTCCCATGTAAAATGTAACTTCCTTTTACCAGGTGGTAAAGAGACATCAGTATCAGCAGAGATCTGGAATTCAGAGTTAAGAAGTCTGGGTAAACCCCTTGTTACTTTTACCAATTTTACTACCCAAGCTCAAATTCTGTTATATTTGCAGGCTTCAGTTTTAAAGAAATTCTAAGTTTTCTTTGTACTATCAACTCATCACTGATGTGTTATTTCTATGTCTAAGAAAAGTCTCGTAGCTGCCTACCTTGGTTTCCTTGGATCTCAGTGTTAATATCAGGCCTCTCTGTGCACAGAATTAAACTTTTTCTCTTTTTAATCTGTGTCTTGTCAATTTAAATCTTAGATCACCCGGAAGAATCTTCCAGGGTAGAGCATACTTTTCCTCCTCAACAGCTGGCAGAGTTGGCAGGATACACGCTAACTGGCAGGACACTGCTGCAGCTGAGAAATGATGGGGCATCTGACAAAAGCTGGTGGAGGGTAAGACTCCTCACCCACCACATCACCTCCTGGATCTCTGCCTGCACGGGCTAAATTTAGATGAGCAGGAGAAAATATTTATGGACCTAGTTCCTTGGCTTTAAGGACTCTGGTGACGTTGGTAGAGTTCATTTGGCTTGAGAGACCCATTTCCAATGAGAGATGGCCATGGTTTCTCATTGTCCTTGTCTTTTGTGTCATTTGTCATAAAAAGAATTACCACAGAAAATAACACAAGCAGAAGTCCAATCAGCCTGCTGTTTGAATTGGCCTCACATACTGGTGAGTCCACAATTATCATCGTACCTGTGTCTGTTTAGACAAACTTTGTCGTGGGTGCTCTGTGTAAAAGCTGGAGGAGGTTTTCCTTTTCTCTTGTTTTACATCCTAAGAGCTTTGGTTTGTGACTAGTGAGAATATTACCTCTGGTCTCCACCATCCAAAAGATGTAATTACCAGAGTGCATCTTTGTACACTACGTCGTGTAGGGTCTGAGACTCAGTTACAAGCAGTACTCTTTGTCTGGCCATGCCAGCAATCAGGGGAGTGTGTTCTAAGAGGTCCCAGCCCATAAAGGACATTTGTCAACATAACCTCCATTAGTGCTGGAAAAATCTCATTACAGTAGTGTCTGCCCTATGTTGCAGATTAGTGAGTCCATGACTAGAGATGTCTCACATTTTTGTAGGAGACTGAACACACTGTTTTCTCCACATCATCTTTACTGCCTGTGCAATGAAGGCCTTTGCTATGTTAGATGATTTTGGGGAGTAAAATTCTGGGTTACGGGGGATGCATCATTTATTCCCTCTGTAGGGATGTGTCAGTGGTCTGAGCCTGGAAAGTTGCCTGCACATCTTCCCATAAATGTGCTTATTGGTTTGAATTACTGTCGAGATTAATAAGATCCTATTCATTGCCAGATGTTGGATGCTTTATATTGGCTATATTTGGAAGAAAAAAAAATCTGTATAGGAATCTTCCAGTTGTCTTAGTCATATAATGGTTAGCTTTTGGGACTCTGTTGAAGATATGAATAAACAAAAATTAGACTGATGACAAAAATTAATGTTTATATTAATATAAATTCCCCTTCTCAGATTCTGGCCCCATTTGTCTATTTTAATTTCCCTTTCCTAACAAGTTGTACAGAGAGCACTCTGACCTAATCTCTAAGTTCAAAGTATATAGGTTATTCATGTAAATGCTGGAAAGCAAGGAATAAATTTAACAAAAGCAAACATGACTGGCTTTGCTCCTACTTTAAAGGGCTCTGTAATTTTATTTTTATTTTTATTTATTTTTTTTGCTTATGTAGAGCCACATGTAAGTGAAATCATATGGTGTTAGTCTTCCACTGTGAGATTTACTTCACTTAGCAGAAGAGCCTCTTGACCAATCATGTCATCATTAGTGGCAAGATCTTATTCTCTTTTGTGGCAGAGTAATATGCCATTGTAAGTATATACCACATCTTCCTATCCATTCCTCTATCGATGGCTTCTTAAATTGCTTCCATATCTTGGATATTGCAAAAGAAAATGAAGTGGCAATAAACTTAGGAGTGTGTATATCTTCTTGAAGTTGTCTTTTCCATCCCTATGAGTAAATACCCAGAAGTGGATCCCTGGATCCTGGGGTATGTATTTTCTCACTTTGTGCAGAGTCACCATAGTCTTTTCCACTGCCCTTGCACCAATTTACATACCTGCCAGGAGAGAACAGGGGTTCCCTGGTGGATATCATTGCAAACACTTTCTATTTGTTGTATGTTTGATCCTGTCCTGTGTGCTTGGTGTGAGGTGGTATTTCATGGGGTTTCCTAGTGGGTCTTCTTAATGATATCTGATGTTGAACATCTCTTCCTAGGTCTGTTGGCTAGCTGACTCTCTCTCTTGGGGAGAAAAAAAAAAGATCACTAGGTCCAATTATTCACAAAGTATTTGGGGATTTTTTGGTGTTGGGTTGTACTAGCATGTCCTACAGTTTGGATATTAATCTCTTACGGTGTGTATCAGTTGCAAAGCACTTCTGCCGTTCAGCAGGGTTCCTTTCATTTAATTGATGTTTCCCTTTGTTGGGCAAAAGCTTTTCACGCCAGTGTGCTCTGACCTGTTTATGTTTGCTTTGTTTTCTCTTGCTTGGGGAGACCTATCTAGAAAACTGCTTTGGCTATGTACAAGAGATTACTGCCTACCTCTACTTGAGCAAGTTTGATGGTTTCGGGGGTCACCTTGGGGTCTCCTTTCCACTTTGGGTTTGTTCTTGCACATGGTGTAAGAATATTGTCCACTGTCCTTTTGCACGCAGCTGTCCAGTTGCCACATAATGAACATGCTGTCTTTTCCCCCTTGTCTATTCTTGTCAATTTTGTCCTAGACTAATGGACAATATAATGGTGGGTTTATTTCTGGGTTCCCTAGGTGGTTCCATGTATCCATGTGTCCCCTTGTTTGTGCCAGGACCATACTCTTCTGGTTATGTACAGATTTTGAGCATATCAGAAAATCAGGGACGGTGATAGATCCCACTCTGTTCATCTTCCTCAAGATTGCTTTGGTTCTTTGGGGTCTTTGGTGATTTTATACTCATTTTAGAATTACTTATTGTAGTTCTGTGGAAAACATGATTGCTTTTTTCATAGGGATTACATTAAGTCTGTCGATTGCTTTGGGTGGAGCAGACATTTTGACACTATTGATTCTTCCACCATGGGTGTTCTCTCTCTGTTGATTTGTGCTATCTTCAATTTCTTTCATCTGTGTTTTATGGTTTTCAGAGTAGAGTTCTTTCCCTTTCTTGGTTACATTTCTGCCTTTTTTGGTGTTTTTGGTTTTTTGGGTTCTAATGAAATGAGATTGTTTTCTTTCTCTCTTTCTTCTTTATTCTTAGGTAGAAACTCAGTGAATTTGTGGGTATTAATTTTATATTCTGCATTTTTACTGAATTCATTTATCAGTTTAAAGAGTTCTTTGGTAGTCTTTAGATTTTCTGTATTTGATATCATGTCTTTTTAAATATAATTCTACTCACTTTTAATTCCTATGGCTTTTCTTTTTCTTGTTTGATTGCCACTGCCAGAACTTCCAAAAGAACTTCCAGCAATCTGCTGAGAAGAAATAGATCAGTGTGAACATCACTGTCCATTTCTGCTTATTTTAGTTCTTTTCTACTGAGGGCAATATCATGTGTGGTTTTGCATATGTTTCCTTCAGTATGGTGAAGTATGTTTCTTCTAAACTTACTCTGTTTAGAGTTTTTATCACAAACAAGTATTGAATTTTGTTAAATTTTTTTTTTGCATCAGTTGTAGCGATCCTGTGTATTTTATCCTTCCCCTTTTATGTTTTGTATCACACTGAATGCTTTGCAATATTGTACTCTCTTTGCATCCCTTTAATATATCCCCTTTGTTCTTTTCAATGGTTCTTTCAGTGTATTGTCGAGTTTGTTTTGGTGTGGATTTTTCCATCTATGTTCATCAGGGATATTGGTCTGAAGTTTTCTGTTTCTGTATAGAAATAATAGAAATAGAAATAGAAATAGAAATAGAAATAGAAATAGAAATAGAAATAGAAAACTGTGTGTGTGTACGTTTTGTTTTTTGGGGGGTTTTTTGGTCTTTGTAGACAAAATCTTGGTCAATTTTGGTCAAGGTGATTTTGATCTCTAGAGTGATTCCAGAATTTATCCTTTGGCTTCTATGTTATATACTGATTTAAAAGTTAGGCATTGTGCTCTGGGTGGCTCAGTCAGTTAAGTGACTCCCTTCAGCTCAGGTCATGATGCTGGTGTTCCAGTATTGTAGTCCCACATTGGGCTCCTTGCTCAGTGGGGAGTCTGCTTCTCTCTTTGACCCTCCCCCCACCCACGCTCTCTCTCTTCACTCTCTACCAAATAAATAAATAAAATCTGAAATGAAAGTTAGGTACTAAAATTTAGGTATTTTAAAATTGAACTTAATGTTTTGTTTGCTTTATAGTAATTTTATTTAAAAAAAATTTTTTACATCATTAATTTTTGACATAATGGTCAATGATTCATTAGTTGTGTATAACACCCAGTGTTTTTATTCGCATTTGGTTAGCATTAATGTTAAATTAGCTTCAAGTGAGGAACATACTGATGTAACAGCTCTTGACATTACACAGTGTTCACAAGTGCATCTCTCATCTGTTATCACAGAATGCTATTTCAGTACCATTGACAATATTGCCTATGCTATACTTTAGTTTTCATGACTTTTTATATCATAATGAAAGTTTTAACCTCACATTTTCTTCACCCATTTTTCCCTTCTCACTCTCCTCATCTCCGTCCATCACCAGTTTTTTATGTTTACGAATTTCCTTCTGTTTGTTTGCTTTCTTGTTCATTTTTTTGATGTTGAGATTCCATGTATAAGTAAAACCACATGGTATTAGTCTTTGATTTATTTCACTTAACATAACACCCTATAGTTCCATCTGTGTTGCAAACGGGACATTCTCATTCTTTTTTATGGCTGAGTTACATTCCTGTGTGTGTGTATGTGTGTGTATTTATGTATGTGTATGTGTGTGTGTATATATACATGTATATATACACACACACATAAAACATCTTCCTTATCCATTTATTTATGGATGGACACTTACATCATTTCCATATGTTATCTATTGTAAATAATGTGGCAATAAATATAGACATACCTAAATCTTTTGGAATGTGTATTTTTATTTTCTTTGTGTAAATACCTAGGAGTGGAGTTGCTAAAATATGCTATTTCTCTTTTTAATGTTTTGGGGGAGCCACCATACATTTTTCACAGAGTTTTATAATGTACACTCCTATCAAGTGTGCATGAGGCTTCCCTTTTTACATATCCTGGCCAGCACTTGTTATTGCTTCTTGATCCTAGCTAGTGTGACTGGTATGGGATTATACCTGATTCTGGTTTCACTTTGTATTCCCTTAATGATTAATGATGTTGAACATCTTTACATTTGCATATTTTTGTTGGCCAGTTGGATGAATTCTTTGGAATAATGCCTATTCAGGTCTTCAGCCCATTTTTTAATTGACGTGTTTGGTTTTTTGTGTTGAGTTCTATACTTTTTTCACAGATTTTGAATATAAGCTTCTCTGAGAAATCATTTGCAAATATATTTTGCCATTCAGTAGGTTGCCTTTTGGATTGTTGATGGTATCATTTGTTGTGTAAGGGCTTTTTTGTTTTGTTTTGTTTTGTTTTTTTGGAGCATACTCCCAGTAGTGTTTGTTTTTTTCTTATTTCTTCTGCCTAAAGAGGCATATGTAGAAAAATGCAGCTAAGGCTAATGAGCATGGATTACTATCCATGTTTTCTTTTAGGAGTTTAATGACTCCAGGTCTCATATTTAGGCCTTTAATCCATTTTGTGCTTATATTTGTTTACGATATAAAAAATGGTTCCATTTGATTTGTTTGCATATAGTGTCTAGTCTTCCTTGTGCAGTTTATTGAGGAGACTGTCTTTCCCATTGACTATTCATGCCTCCTTTGTTGTAGGTTAATTGATCTTAGAGTTGTGGGTTTATTTAGGCGATTCCTCTCCGGTTCTATTGTTTCATGTGTCTGTGTTCCTGTACTGCACTCTTCTGATGGCTATACATTTGTCATAGAGTTTGAAAACAGTGATTGTTTTACTTCCAGCTTTGTTTTGGCTCTTGAGCATGTTTGGCAATTTCCATACACATTTGTAATTCATTTATTCCAGTTCTTTGAAAAATACTATTATAATTTTAATGGCGATTACATTGAATCCATAGTTTGCTTTTTGTAGTGCGGAATTTTAAAATTATTAGTACTTGTCAACTAGGGGTACGTTATATCTATTTCCATTAGTTGTGCTCTCTTTAATTTCTTTCATCAGTGTTTTATAGTTTTCAAAGTAGAAACCTTTGTGGTTAAGTTCATTTCTAGGTATTTTTTTTTAAGATTTTATTTATTTGACAGAGAGAGATCACAAGTAGAGAGAGAGAGAGAGGAGGAAGCAGGCTCCCTGCCTAGCAGAGAGCCTGATGTGGGACTCGATCCCAGGACCCTGAGATCATGACCTGAGCCAAAGGCAGAGGCTTAACCCACTGAGCCACCCAGGCAGCCCTCTAGGTATTTTTGTCTTTTTGGAGCAGCTGTTAATTTTTGTGTGTGTGCAATTTCTGTCTCCCCTACTTTGTTCTCAGTGTATTTTGAAACACAACAGACTTATGCATATTAATTTTGTATCCTACAACTAACTTTACTTATGCATTTGTTCATTCTCATAGTTTTTTGGTGGAGTCTTTAGTGAGTGTTTGTATATGTATATATAATTGTGTCTCCTGCAACTATGACAGCTTCTTTCTTATAAGGCTGGATTTTTAAAAAATTTATTGTATGATTGCTGTTTGTAAGAGTTCCAGTACTCTACTGAATTAAAGTGATAAGTGTGGATATACTTGTCTTGTTTCCGATTATAGAGAAAAAACTTTCAGCTTTTCTTCATTTGGTATTATGTTTAGTTGTGTGTTTTTCTTATATGGCCTTTATTATGTTATGTTTCTCTATACCCACTATTTTGAGAATTTTTATCTTGAACAAATGTTGAATTTTGTCAAATATTTTTGTGCATTTTGTGAGATGATCATATGGTTTTTATCCTTGCTTTTGTGTTAATGTGTTGTATTAGATTGATTAATTTGGATTATTGAATCTTTTTTCTGTCCTGGTAATAAATGCCATTTGACCATCGGGAATCATTTCTTCAATATGATTTGGAATTCACTTTCGTAATAATAATTATTTGGTAATATATTTGTATCTGTGGTCATTAAAGGCATTAATCTGAGTTCTCTTTTTCTACTGTGTATTTGTCTTGTTTAGGTATTAGGGCAATGCTCACCTTGCAGAATGAATTTAAAACTTTGCTTCCTCTTTTTTTTTAAATTTTTTAATTTTTTTACTAACTTGATGAAAGTATGCATTAACTCTTCTTCAGATGTTGGGAAAATTCACCTGTGAAGTCATCTCTCCTGGACTTTTGCTTCTGGGACATTTTTTGTTTTTGTTTTTTCTCTACTGATTGTATTTCCTTTTTTGTAATTTGCTAAATTTTCTATTTCTTCCCAGTTTAATTTTAGAAGATTTGTGTGTTTCTAGGTATTTATCTATTTCTTCTAAGTTGTCAATATTGCTGGGATTTAATTTTTCATATTTTCTTACAAATCCTTTTTTCTCTGTGTTGTATGATGATGTTTCTCCCTTTCCTTCCCTCCGTCCCTTCCCTCTGTCCTTCCTTCCTTCCTTCCTTCCTTCCTTGTGATTCCTGTTAAAGATTTATCAATTTTATCTTTTCAAACAGCTCCCCTTTTTATCAAACTTTTGTTTTTTTAAGTATCTTTTTGTTTCTGCTCTAGTTTTTATTATTTTCTTTTTTCCACTAATTGGGGACCTTTTGTTTTTCAAGTTCTGTTAGGTGCATGGTTCAATTCTTTTGAAATTTTTCTGTTTCTTGAAGAAGGCTTGTATTGCTATTAACTTTCCCCTTAGAACTACTTTTGAGGATGCCTGGGTGGCTCAGTTGGTTGGGTGTCTGCCTTTGGCTCAGGTCATGATCCCGGGGTCCTGGGATCAAGTCCTGCATTGGGCTCCTTGCTCAGCGTGAAGCCTGCTTCTCCCTCTGTCTGCCGCTCCCCCTGTTTGTGCTCTCTCTCTCTCTCTGACAAAGAAATACATAAAATCTTAAGGAAAAAAATAAAAAAAGAAAAAGCAAGGGTGCCTGGCTGGAAGAGTCAGTCTGTTAAGACTCTGCCTTGAGCTCAGGTCATGATCTCAGGGTCCTGGGATTGAGTCCTGCATTGGAGTCTGCTTCTCCCTCTCCCTCTGCCTGCTGTGCTCCCTGCTTGTACTCTTTTACTCCTTGTGTCAAATAAATAAATACAATCTTTAAAAAATAAAAATGGACATCTGGGTGGCTCAGTGGGTTAAGACTCTGCCTTCAGCTCAGGTCATGATCTCAGGGTCCTGGGATCGAGTCCTGAGTTGGGTTCTCTGCTCAGCAGGGAGCCTGCTTCCTCCTCTCTCTCTTTCTGCCTGCCTCTCTGCCTACTT